GGGAGCCTCCTCCCCATGCTGGAGGCCCCCTTTCTGCTTCCCCAGGCCCATAGCCATTGTTGCTGGTGGTAGCCCCCCCCCGGGTAGCAACACTGCAGCAGCATCCCTGCTTCACCTCCCAAGCAGAACCTGGGGCCAGGCTGGTCCCAGGGATAGTGGCATAGCAGCCCCCCAGGCATGTGGTGCCAAGCCTTGCTGCGGGACTGCAGAGGTGATTAGGTGGCCCCTAATCTGATTTCCCATGATGGGACAAGGCCGCTAGAAATAACCCATGGCCTTGGCCAAGGTGGAGGCTGAGGCAAGCCAGCTTGCATGGTTGGCTTGGGGGCTGCAGATGCCAGGGGTGTGCAGCTCCCTCACATCCAGGCCTGCTGAGCCAGCGGGAGGTGAACTGGAGCTCAGTGCCCCCCTGTCCCTGGGTGACACAATACTAGATTCTCCAGACTTCCCCTCAGGCAGGGCCCATTGCGTGGTCCCAGTACCCCCATGGCACCCACTTCCCACCCCTGCTCCCTGCCCACAGCCTCCCTAGCCCGTTGCCTGAGTGTTCTGGCTCGGCCCTGGGGATTCACCCCCACAGCCCACAGCCCAGCCCTGACCCAGCCACAACGATGCTTGGTGCCCATGGTGTGGCACAGTGCTGGCAGCAGCCCTCCTGCTTTGGCTTTCACACTTTTTGCTGGGGTTGCTCTGCTGCTGTCACCGCCTTCTCCCTGAATTATTTAGGGCTGGCCTCGCTCCCAGCCCCGCGCCCGCACGGAGGCTCTGTTACAGCCAGGAAACCCAATCCCTGGTTGCCGCCGCAGGATGGTGGTGCTCCCAGCCCACCTTCACACTGGGGCAGCCGGTGGCTCGGCGTGCGGTCCAGCCATCTGGCAAAGCAGTTTACCAGCACTTGCCCAAGTGGCTTAACCCCCTCCCAATTAGTGGGACATGGCAATCACGGGCTGACCATTTGCCTGTGCCCCCACTATCCCCAACCTGCCGCCGTCCCTGTCCTGGCCCCAGCTCTGGCTCGGGGAGCAGTGATGTGCCAGTCCGGTGCGGTGGCACCGCAGGGCAGGTGCCCTGCAGCACAGCAGGGTGAGAAGCCAGCACTGACCACAGCCCGTCTCACTGTTACAGGGATCAATTATTAAGGGCCCTCGATCATTGCGATAACAGAGCAGAGTATTTATTGCTCTTCCTTTTTTAAATATTCAACAGGGGTTTTTTATGGAGTGCTTAATAAAGCAGCTTCCTGCACAGTGGGGATGTGGATGTGGGATACAGGATGTGGGATGCAGGATATGGGACTGTGAGATTCAGGATGCATAATGTGGGATGTGGCAGTGCCAAGGCCCACTGTGGGGGTGGGAGATGACTGTGCCTGGCAGTGGGGCTGGCAGGGGGCAGTGGGGCCAATCAGTGCCATGGGGCAGCTTGGCCTTTCCCTGCCAGGTCCCCCATGGCCGATGATGCCTAAGCTGCTTATGTAAAAATACTGCAAAATGGCAGCATCCAAAAACAGCCGGAGGAAGGAGCTTAGCCTAAGTGGGCTGATTAACTTAGTGACCTCCCGCTGGAGCCACTGCAGGGACCCTGTGGAGACCTACAGGGTGGCTAGCTCCCAGCCCACCCTGCCCACACTGCCAGCATGTTACCTGTGTCCCTCTGTATCCCACGTCCCCACATACCTGTACCTTGTGCGTCCCCTACGTGTCCCCTGTCCCAGTGTGCTGCTAGCAGTGGTGGCAGCAGGTGACAGGTGCTGTGCCCCGCTTGCAGCACACTGAGTGCCCAGACCAAGACGGGGGCCACCCCACTGTACCTCGCCTGCCAGGAGGGCCACCTGGAGATCATCCAATACCTGGTGCAGGACTGCGGGGCCGATCCTCATGCTCGTGCCCACGATGGCATGACACCTCTGCACGCTGCTGCCCAGATGGGCCACAACACCGTCATCGTCTGGCTGGTAAGCATGGGCTGGGCACAGGGTGGGGGCACAGCGTGGTGGCACGGCGTGGTGGCACAGTGTGGTGGCACGGCGTGGGGCTGGCGGGGCTGGCACTCATCCCGCCCGCCTGCACAGATGAGCTTCACGTCGGTGAGCCTGTCGGAGCGGGACGCCGAGGGGGCCACAGCCATGCACTTCGCTGCCAGCCGCGGCCCCGCCAAG